TTGGCTGCAGTCTGAGGTCAGGATGCTCTGGAGGGGGTTTTTATCCTGGATGTTTTTAGACCAGGGGATCGCGTTAACAGAATATTTTCCATATTTGACAGGGTATTTTTGTAAATCGACTGAAAAATCTGAAGCCTGTCCATCATTGTAACAGATTACAATATACACCCCTGACTATACTTGGTGCAGACACGCAGGACACTTGCAACTTTAAGCACAGAGTACATAGCAGAGGTAACTAAAACAAGCAACCAAAAAAACAAAACATCCCGGGTTTCCCCCAGTGTATTATAAGCCTGGCGGCCCGCCATGCTTTACTAGCCCCGCCGCCAGGCTAAGGGTTGCTTTTTTATGTTTTTAGGGAAAAAAAAAATCTTTTTTTTTTTTTTAAAGCCAGGCTGCAAGCGTCTCTTTTGCTCTTAGCATTTCACTAGCAGAGCAGATTTATTCCTAAAGGATAGGTTTATAATAGATAGGTTTATAGTTTATGCATTTAAACCCGACAGCGCACTGACCAATCACACCGCTGGCGCCTCTGTGCTTTGCCTCTGCGTTTGCCTCTGCGCTTTGCCTCGCACGCTGCCGCTGCTTTACCTCAGTGGGATCGCGCGCGCCTCCTTTCACTCAAACTGGACTCAGGCTGACCTGTATGGATATTTACATCAACCTACTGTAAGGAATTATGATCCTTTGGAGAACTCTAGGTAAAAGTTTAAAACCCACCGCGTTAGCTCTGGTTGCGCAGCTCTATGTGAATAACTTGTAGTGAATTCAGAGGCGCGTTGTGGAGCGGTGAGAATGATTTATCTTTGTGAACGAACAATTATATGCGGCATTTACATCTCAACACGCTGCTCAGCGTGTGGCTCTGTATTTGTCTTCCCTGTAAAGTTTACGTCTGTCGGAGCGTTAAATCAGCCGGAGCGTTTGTGGATAACGAGCAGCGCTAACCACATCATGCAGGTTCAGCCTGGTGAGGAGCTTTCGCGCTCTCCTCGGAGTCACGCATCACGCTGATTTTATATTATTTTATTATTATTTTTAGTATTATTTTTCCTGTTACACGATGCATCAAACCATATCAAATGCGTTGTCTATTTAGAGTTAATACGTGCGGCCGCACAGAGATCTGAGAAACTCGTCCCATAAACTCGACCAACCAGAATAGTTTCTGTGACGCTTATTAAAAACTCAACAGACACGAAATGGAAGAGCTGCTCAAGCCACATTAGCAGCATTGAATTAAATCTCCCGTTTGTTGCGCATCTCTGCGCAGTGCAACAGATTACCTCATCATGCAGGGCCGGTCCAAGGCTGTATGAGGCCTTGAGCAGAATCTGACTTAGAGGCCCCTTTTGTTGCTAAAAATATCAGCACCTCTAACAGCTTCTGTGTTAGAATTAGTGAAATATGGGAGAAGGGAGTAGTTTAATTGGCCAGCCTAGAAAGCAATAAGTTATAATCGCAGTTTACTAATTTATATTTGTAAATTCAAAGATTAAACTCACANC